TATATATAATTGTGCTACAATGGGGAGTCAACATCTGAGACATTCTGATCAAAAGAATCAAAAGGTTTGCCTTAATTAACTAATGTTTTTTTTTGTAAATCTTTAGTCCAGGAAAGAAAAGACAGAGAGAAACAGGCAGAAGAACACAGAGAAAAGGGACCCACCGGAGGTGCGAGGGCCTTGTTCAGAATCAACCATAAAGACTGATCTGAGTTCAGGATTTGAACCTTGCTTGGGAAACCCTGTTATCCTGTATAAAGAATCCCCAGGTTAAAATGGTCTTTCCTGATTAGTGGATGCATTTTTAAATAGGAATACAGTCCCCCATTCTCTTAGTAGTAAGCCATATCCTGCTTAGAAGGCAGGATTATCTCCATGTTAAAGCTAACTTGTATGATTTTGTTGTGTGTCTAGTATTGTCACTATTAATAAATGTTTATCCCAGATTGCCTGATTTGGTTACTCTTTTCACCAAAGCTGTGCCAGAGAACAAAGAACACAGGTGTCTCTAAATATACCAACTACTCAGGTATTTCCTGGGCATCTTTTACAATTTGGGGATTTGGGGGGGGGGTAATAATTTTAGTTATTGATTATCCTGCTCTATTTCAGTAACTCGTTTGTAACACCCTATTTCTAAGAGCTTTACAGCAACTGATGAAAAATCTAGACACCCTTTGCTATGCATCTCTTTAATGAAACATTTTAACGTAGAGGTACACAAAACCTAAAAGAAAAAGAGAAAAAAGCTTCAGAAAAAAAACCCACAGAAGCACATTACAGAACATAAAATGGATTGATAAAATAATACACCATGAAATGTACACAAGAGGAAAATGGTGGATAGTCAGGTAGCAGAGAGTTCAACCGACAATGCAGTGAATGGGAGTAACTACTTTCACAAGCTTTGCCCCACAGTTGCATTGAAGTCATACAAGTTTAAATCTATTTCTACTGGGATCAGGTTGTAGAATGGTGTGGACAAAGTCATCAAAACACTTTACATGTAGAAATGTGATACTAACGCAAATGAACAAGGCAGCACAAAGGCATACAAGGCTTGAGAGCTTAGAGAATTTGTAAAACAGTATATAAGGCGACATGACTGGAGAAACAAAGCAGAATCTAGAAGTTGGGCTTTGGGGGGGGGTTAGATTTTTATGCTTAATTTGAATAGACTTATTCAAGAAAGACTATTAAACAGGTTGTCTGAATGTAAATGAGGTTCTCTGCAGAACCCTCTCATTTCTTGATGTCAAGAGAATTTGAATGTTGGAACTAAGTAACACTTGCTAATCTTCAGAGCTCTCTGTAAGAGAAATTCAACATAAACTGAACAGCAATTACACCTATTGTATTTTGCTACTTCCGTTAAATGCATTTTTAGCAAAAATGTACAGACTGGCAACTACACAGATTCCCAGGTTCTCTCAGGAACTATCCAGTCTAGTATCCAGCATGTACTTCAAGGAGGTTCTGAAATCCTTACCTATATACCTGCACTGAAGTCAACAATTAAGAGCCTTTATCCATCTTGGACATTTTTGTGGTACTGAAATACATTTTTCAGCATGTTTCCTGTACACTACCCATAACACTTCACAAGGGCTATGTTGTTGCACCATTTAAAATACTTAAATTGAACTTGGAGGGAAATATTCAAAGACTATAAGGAATAGATAGAAAAAAAAACATCAGTAGACTACACTATGCACATTTCTATGAGGAAATTGTTATACTTTATTTTTCAGGGCAAAGAAACTATCTTGATCCAGATAATGAACACTCAACAAATATACCAAGCATACCATATTTACTGATCAACATACAGCCTAATCATAGTGGGATTTTTAACTTTACTGCTACAACCAACTTACAAGTAGCTTCGACTGCTC